ATATATTGTTAGCTATGGTAAATGGTATTAATTTCCTTTTCAGCAATCTCTTTGCTGGTGTAGAGGAATCCAGTTGATATTTGTATGTTGATCTTGTATCCTGCCATAATGCTCAATCTCTTAATTAGTTCCAGTAGTTTTCTTGCTGAGTCTCTTGGGTTCTCTATTTATAGGGTCATATCATCAGCAATTAGGGATAGTTTGACTTCTTCCTTAACCGATTTGGATGCTTTTGATTCCCTTGTATGACCTTATTGCCCTGCCTAGGACTGCCAATACACTGTTAAAATAGAAGTGGTGGTGGAGGGCATCCTTGTCTGCTTCCCATTCACAAGGGGAATGGTTTCAGTCTCTCTTTATTGAGAATAATGTTGGGTGTTGGTTTTGCATATATTCCCTTTATTATATTGAGGAATTTCCCTTCTGTTTCTATTTTTTTCTGAAAGATTTTTTTTTTTTTTAAGGTATGGGCATTGGATATTATCAAATGCCTTTTCTGCATCAGTTGATATGATCATGTGGTTCTTTTCCTTTGTTTTATTAATGTGATGGATGACATCGATTGTTTTTTTAATGTTGAACCATCATCCTTGCATACCACTTGGTTATAATGTATTATTATCATTATTTTTTAATATATTGATGGAGAATCTTGGCTAAGATTTTGTTGAAGATTTTTGCATCTATACTCATGAGGGATATTGGTCTGTGGTTTTCCTTTTTAGTGATGTCTTTGCCTGAATTTCGTATCAAGGTTATGCTTGCTTCATAGAATGATTTTGGGAGGATTAGATCCTTTTCTATGTTCTGGAATACTTTCAGTAGAAATAGTGTCAGTTCTTTTCTGAAAGTTTGATAGAATTCTCCTCCTGTAAAACCATCTGGGCCAGGACTTTTTTTTTTTGGTAATTGTTTTATGACCTGTTCAGTTTCTTCTTTTGTTATGTTGTTGTTATGTGCCATCGAGTCAGACCCGACTCATAGCGATCCCTCCTCGGGTTGCTAAGGCAGTATCACTACGGAAGTAGATTGCCTAACCTTCCTTCAGAGGAGTGGCTGGTGGATTTGAACCACCAGCGTTCTGGTTAGCAGTCAAGTGCCTTAGGCACTATAATTTTCTACCTCAGTCTGTGTTAGTTTAGGTAAGTAGTTTGTTTCTAGAAATCTGTCCATTTTTTCTAGATTTTCAAATTTGTTGAAGTACAGTTCTTCATAGTATCCTGATATTATCCTTTTCATTTCAGTTGGTTCTGTTGTGATGTCACCCAATTTGTTTCTTATTTGTTTAATTTGTATTCTCCCCCTCTTTCCTTTGTTAAATTTGCTAGTGTTTTTTTCAATTTTATTAATCTTTAAAAAAAAACCAACTTCTAATCTTGTTGTTTTTTTCTATTATCTTTCTATTTCCTGTTTCATTGCTTTCTGCTCAAATCTTTATTATTTCTTTCTTTGGGTGACTGTAGTCTTCTTCTTCTTCTTCTTCTTCTTTTTTTTTTTTTTTTCTTTGCTGCACTTTTTCTAATTTTTGGAGATGTTGGGTTGAGGTGTTGATTTTGGCTCTTTCTTCTTTTTTGATATGTGTACTTATTGTTATAAATTGGCCCCTGATGATGCTTTTGCTGTGTCCCAAAGATTTTGGTATGTTGTGTTTTCATTCTTGTTTGATTCAAGGAAGTTTTTAATTTTATTTTTTATTTCTTCTATTACCCAGTCGTTATTAAGGAGGATGCTATTCAGTTTACCTGTGTTTGCTCATTTTCCACTGACCTTCCTATTGTTGATTTCTAATTTTGTATCATTGTGAACTGAGAAGATGCTTTGTAATATTTCATTGCTTTTAAGTTTATTAAGGCTTGCTTTGAGGCCTAACCTAACATGTGGTGTACTCTGGAGAATATTCCACATACACTGGAAAAGAATGTATATTATGTTGTTGTTGGGTAAAGTGCTCTGTAGACCTCTATAAGTTCAAGGTGGTGGATTGTATTGTTTAACTCTTCTGTGGCTCTGTTGAGTTTCTTTCCAGTTCTATCTTTCATTGAAAGTGGTGTATTAAAGTCTCTGATTATGACTGTGGATTCATCTGTTTGTCTTTCCAATTCTGTTAAAGTCCCATTTATGTATTTTGGTGCTCTTTCATTGGATGCATAGGTATTTACTATGGTTATGTCCTCTTGTTCAATTGATCCTTTAATGATTATATAATGTCCTTCCTTGTCTCTTATGGTGGTTTTTGTCTTAAAGTCAATTTTATCAGTAATTAATATTGGCACTCCTGCTCATTTTGATTCCCATTTGCTTGAAATATCTTCTACCAGCCTTTGATTTTTAGTCTATTTTAGTGTTTGTCTAAGGTGTATCTTTGTAGACAGCATACTGATGGATTATGTTTTCTCACCAAATCTTCAACTCTCTGTCTCTTGAGTGGTGCATTTAATCCATCTATGTTCAGTGTAATTATTAACAAGTATGAATTTGTTGCTGTAATTTTGTTATTTTTTTCATTATGTTGCTGATTTTTTTGTTCCATATAGTTTTTTGTGCTGAGCTCATTTTGTTTATGAATTGTGTTATCATTTCCTTCAGTGCTAGTGTTTCAGTATTTGCTAAATATTTCCTTCTTTTTTATTTTAATGGCAGTTTTATAATTTTTCTTTGTGATTTATAGTTTTCTTCCCAAGTTTAGAACAGTCCATTCTATCTTCCAATTATCATGACTTTCTCACCATTTAGAAATTCTGTAACTAAACTATTTTTTTCCTCTTTTTGGTTTGTAGTTGTCCTCCTTTGCCTACTGATGTCTCTGGTTCCCTGTTATGTAAGTTTATTTTACTTTGGATAGTTACATAACTGGATTGGTTTCTGGGTTATGTCATCATGTGTATTAGTGGTTGGTTGTTGCTTGCTGTTGTTGGTTCTCTGTCCAAAGGACTCCCTGTAGCATCTCTTATAAGGTTGGTCTGATGTTAACAAATTCCCTTAATTTCTGCTTATCTGGAAATGTCCTCATTTCACCATCATATTTCAGGGACAATTTTGCTGGGTATATAATTCTTTGTTGGAAATTATTTTCCTTTAGGGCTTTATATGTACCATCCCTTTGCCTTCTTGCCTATTGATAAATGGTTTCTATCAAGAAATCAGAGTTCAATCTTATTGGTTGCCTTATTGTAGGTAACTTTTCATTTTCCCATGCTGCTTTCAGGATTCTTTCTTTGTCTTTGGTTTTGCTGAGTTTGGTGATATGTCTTGGTGATTTTCTTTTGGGGTCTATCTTGTTTGTGGTTCGTTTGCTTTCATGAATGCATACATTCTCATTATTTTTCATCATATAAGGGAAAATCTCTTTCAACAAATCTTTGACAATTTTCTCCGTGTCTTTGTTTGTTTCTTCCTCTTCTGGAATTCTGATTACACATAGATTATTCCTTTTGATGGTATCCCACATGAACCTTAGGCTTTCTTCATTTTGTTTTGTCCTTTTTCCTGATTGTTTGCTTTCCGAAGATGTATTGAGGTATTTGCCTTCAATCTCACTAATTCTGTCTTGAATTGATTCAATTCTACTCCTTTGCTCATTCAATAAGTTATCTATTTCTGAAAATATAATAGTATATTTGTATGAAAATAATAGTATTAATCTTCTGGATTTCTATCTTTAGATTTTGTGTCATATCTAAATTTTCATTTATTTTGTCATTTTGTTCTTGTATTGTCTTCTGAAATTGTTTTGGAGTTTTGTTTATGTTTTTCTTAATTTTATCAGTGTTTCCCTTGATTTGTCTCTCAATCTGTTGAAGGTCCCTAAATATAATTCTTTTGAAGTCCTTATCAGAGATCTCCAAACCTGATTCTACCTCAAGGATATGTCCTGGTCCCTTGTTTCTACTGCTTTATTTTGCTTCTTTGTGTGGACTGTGATGCTCCACTCTGAGTCAATGTGATGTTTCTGTATTTTTATTTAGTTAGTGATTGTATATTGGAGTGATTCACCCAAGATTTTAATTTTCTTTTTGGATGTATCTAAGTAAGCAGGATATTGTGCTTCTCTATTTGCTCATTGGTACCACTTGTGCACTTACCACCTGTCCCCTGGTGGGTGTGATAGAGAATGAGAGTAGGTGCACAGATAGATATCTGTTAGCTGTTTGTGAAAAAGTTAAGGGTGAGTCAGGCTTATATTGGCTGCCATGTATTGTTGGCCAGTTGGTGCAGAAGCAAGTGTTGCCTCTCATTTGGTCAGTAGGGCTGTGGGTAGTACAAGTATGCTTGGGTTGTATGGGCAGTTACTGTCTCCCACTCATTTAGACAAAAGCAACAATGAAAAAAAAAATCACCAAAAAATTAAAATCAAGAGGATAAAACACACACACCACATAAACACAGAACAGTCACCAAAAAGAGAAAAAAAAAGAAGAAAGGAAGTAAATGAAATGCAATATTTATATAAATACTTTTAAAAGAGAAAAGAAATATAAATAGAAAAGGAGGAAATCAAAACAAAACAAAAAAGACAACCCACAATATCTGAGAAGGGGGAATAAGAGAAAAGAGCTAGAATAAGAGAATAATGAAGAATAAAATGGGAAAAATGCAAAAAGAAAAAAAAGTGATAAGAAGAATCAAAAGAAAGAAAAAATGGGAATCAGGAAAGGGAAGAGAATAAAAGTCAATAACTAGAAACTGGGAAGGGAAAAATAAAGAATAAAATTAAAAAGGAAGAGAAAAAAAAAAAGAAAATACTTTAAAACAAACCAACCAACAAACAAAGACAAAACAAAAAAATCTGTGGGAGGTGGGGGCAGGGCACCCAGGCTCTGTCAGAGCACACAGACAGATGGAAGTCCTTCTGGCTTTGAAAGTGGGTGGAGGTGAGGGATGGACACACTTCCTTCACCAAGAAGATGTGGGGTTGTTCTAGTTACCTAGTATCACTCTGACAAGAATGTACCACAAATGGGATGGTCTTGACAAACAAGAGTTTATTCTGTTACAGTTTTGAGGCTTTAAGTCCAAGTTCAAAGTGCTAGGCTCTAGGGTCTGGGTGAAAGCCCCTCAGCCTTGGGCTTCAGCTCTGCCTCCAGCTCTTGGCCCACTGAAGCTAGAGGCTTTTCTTCACTCAGACAGCTGCTGGCTGCTGAGGCTGACAAGCCCAAGGCTGACAAATAAAAAGGCACAGTCCCGATGTTACCAAACCACACAACAGGCCATTAATTCAGGTTCATTGTAAGTACCAAGGTCAGAAGAGCATGGCAGGCTGCTGAACAACACAGCTACATACAGGGTCCAAGCATGCCATATGCTAGAGACTGTTCCCCAAGGCTTCAGTTTATACAGAGGAAGCAGACCACACTCCCTAAGGCAGCTACTCAGCTGCTTGTGGTAGATCCCATTATGGAGTTGATTGCCAGCCTCATCATGGGGAATAACTACCTCCAGCTGCCCAGCCACTCAACTAGGCCCAGCCAAGCTGACACACAAACAACCCCCAAAGGGGTATAAGAGTAACAAGGGGAATATCACACAATTCCAGTCTCAGCTTCTGGCATGTTTTGCAGTTCTTAGCAAGTGGAGCCTAATCTTAAATTCCTGAAATCTGAATGAGAACACTGTTGCTTTAACTATCCTAGAATGTTTACCATTTGTAACAATTCAAAATGGCTGCACCCTCCAGTCAGTCCAAAGTTGATAGCTCAGTTGGTCTCCTTTGCTATTTCCCTTTTCAGTCATCAGGTTCATGCAGTCGTTCATGAGGCCCTTGGTGAACAGGACTGATGTTTCAATTGATTCTCAGGTTCTATCACCACTTAGAAATATTCAAACTGTCCTTGTCATCAGGATAGCTGACAGGCTACAGCTCTGTCTGTCTCCTTATTCACTGTTTTCATATAGGTTCTTCTACTAGTTGGTGTTTAATCCACTTTCATATACTTCCTTTCAAAGCTCAGGGCTCCAAGATTATTTTCTGTATCTCTGTCAATTGGTTTTTCTTTTCTTTGCTGAAGAGGGTCTGTGTAGCTTGTCTGCCTATTCCACCTTCTTACTGTAAGTCCTCTAATTTGTTTTAAGCAATAACTCTCTAGTCCCTTTCTCCCATCCCCTGATAACCATTAATAAACTTTTGTCTCTATTCATTTCCCTATTCT